GCCCAGGTTGTTATACATTCATATTCAGTAGGTTTCGAGACTATCAGTAGTTAAGACAATCATAGAACACTTAGGTTGATGAAGGAGTGACAGTGAATATCGCCATAATCCCACGAGTAGATTTCCCAATGCCTTGTCTCACAGAAGATATTCTCATGTCGACTGCATTTTCCGCCTTGCCCATTTCTCATTAACACTCCGAACGGGAATCGAACACAGGCGATGAAGAGTACCTTTTCAGTAATAGGTAAGTTGGTATATAAGTGAATATAATATGATGCACATGATATATTAATTAATATAGAATAATGCGATAGATAATTTTAGCAATAATGTTGAATATATAATGGAATATCATATTATATATATTATAATATTATGTATTATATCATTATTATATCTTCATTAATATATTATGTATCATATTAGCTTGCTTTAATATTAGAGTATGCCTACTCATCTTTTAACTAAATACCGAGTTAGTAGATATCGAGACCAAAGTAGGATAATATCAGCTCTCATTAAAGGTTTACTGAAACTATCGTAACCTAATATGCATACAGTAAATAATAAGCAATTTAATATATAAATATGTACACCATTTACGCCGACAACACTGAAACTGTGTTCATGCATCGGAATATACTCATATGCTCTCTCGGAGCGTCAAATGCACATCCAGTCTTAATTGGAAGAATATTACAGCAAGATAGTATAATATATAATACATAATATATAAATTAATATATTATTATAATAAAGTGCATGATTAAACAAAATAATATTATAGAAGTGGGTTGACCTCGTTGTCGCAACTTGGTCTTGTTGTCAGGGCGACTTAGTAGAATGCACCCAGTCCAAATTCGTCTGTCATAGTAGTTGTCATGCTCAAACGTTTCGCCGGCATCATCAGTGAGCTTTGCCATTCTCCACACCAAGCTACGGAATCGCCAAAGAGACAAGTGAAGTCAATCCCTCGACAAACGTTTTACCGAAAACGGTCACACTATCACGCTTCTTTCTATCTACTCTTTACCTTTTTCTCCAAGTCCCGCTTTATCACAACTTCTGACTTGTTTACATTTCACTCGTCAAAATGTGTGCCCTTTTGTGGCAAATCTAGTGTGGCCTCATCACACTT